TTATTTATAAAGAGATATGAAGAAGGATGTTTCCAGCTATTGATAATAAAACACTTAAAAGACAGCTATTCTAAATTTACTGAATATTTTCGTATTAATCAGGAACAATTTAAACATAATAATAATACAGTAACTCGTCTTTTTCTTTATTAAATTTTGTCATTTTGTACTGACACGACCTTCACGCTGCAATGGTTCGAAATAACTAGAGACGCAGCGCAAAGTGTCTTAACGCCGCCTACGACGTCCATACACCGACATCAGCTTGTGAAAGAGACCACAACAGTACATTTCTATAGTAAGCATCGTAACGCGGCGTACGGCGTAATGCCCCATTTACATTCAGCCCGTTTGGGCAGGGAAGTGAGCAGGGCAGTGAGCAGGGCAGTATGTAAACGGGCTACTCGCGCTGACACTGCCGCTGCCGCTGACACTGCCCGAAATGTCGGTTTTTCGTGCGGAAGTCAAAGGACGGGCAGCGCGAGCGGCAGTGAGTGTTCACATTCAGCTCCATCGCTCACTTCGCGACAAGCGCCTGGATGAACGGACGTGCGTGCCGTCCTGTTATTAAATAAATACGATCTACCAAAATGCCTTTCGAGTGGATTAATGAAAATACAATAAAGTTTTTAGAACTGCTGGAATCAGAAAAAACTATATGGGTTTTCAACGATAAAAACCACAATTCATCATCTTCTACGAATAGGAATTTTCTTTTTGAGTTAACATAGTACCTATGTACATAATTAATTATAAATTCGTCAAATTTATTATATTAATATAAAATTTAATTTAAGGAATTAATGAACATTGACATTTTATTTCTAAAAACGATTAGTAACTCATATTGATTATTTATTAATTAAAATGTAAAATAAGTTAAAAGGTAATATTTGCATAATAGGCTGAGATTTTTAAATTATAATTTTATTGTAATTAAAATTACGAATTAGTTTATACTGAAGTGTAATTAATAAAATAATAATAGCTTAACTAATCTTATATAATATTTAATATTATTTATGTAACAATAATATAATAATTCAATTAATAATTTATGAACAATTTACTGTATAAGAATTCAAATAGCGTGGATCTGTATAAGTATTTAATTGTACATAATATTTGAATTCAAAAAGAATGTGTGTACCTAACTTTTTAAGCAACATCGGGTTTGTGTAATTAGCTGTATTTCATATCATTTTTCCATGCCAATTATGGCAAAACATGTCAGTTCCACGTCATTGATCATCTTATGTACCATGTTTTTAAGCAAATAAATTTTCTGTCTATCTATCTATCTTCTTTTGAACATGATATCTTTTTAAATTATTAACATAATTTTGTATTGCAAGAAGACACAGCGCGGACGCTGTAATTATTTCGACGTCCGCCATAGTCGAAAGCCGAAAGCGATGTGAGTGGTAGGGCAGAGTGTGAATACACACTTCCCGCGATCCTGCTACGGCAGTATTTAGGGAAGTATTGCCGGCAGCGCGAGGAGCAGTGGCAGTGGCTGAATGTAAATGGGGCTTAACGCTGTAAGCGGCCGATGGCGTTTATAGGAGACCACCGCCTAAGATACTCACTGCCGTAACTGATTGCTCGTTGGAATAATTCTTCTATTGCAGATAAAGAAAATTATGTTGCTAAGAAGCTGCCCTGTGTTACATTAAGATGGGTAGTGTTGCTGTTGGTTAGCATACTTTGGTGTTATCGTGTAATCACGTCCCTCACGTTACACTACTGTGTGATTATGACGTAGACATATAACGGTATGGTCGAACTAACTGTATTTGCTCTATACTGAATGTATAGTGCAGTACGCTGTTTTATTGCTGTACATGATTAATTGTGTAAGCAACAGAGCAAGTTAAACACCCGCTCTCGCATGTTTAACACATTATTTTAATTGACTTGGCCATCGCATGAAACCACAATGTATCTTACAAGTAATACATATTATATTGAAATAGATTGTTTAGTGCGATGGCCAAGTCTATCTATATATTTAAAATATAAAATATTTTTAACATTGATATGGTCACTATAAATTGTTGTTAGGTTAGCTAATTACGTAATAACTTAAAACAGAAGGATCCTTAAGTAGGGACTGAATAAATTAACCGACTTGGTATTACATGGATCTCACTTTTTACGGTAGTAGATCTGAGTTACGAGACTTGTTTTTTTACAATTTATGTTTTGATGGCATCTCATTTCTTTATGTAGATAAGAAAGTCCTACTTTTTTACCTTTCCGGTACCTTCTACTTTTTGAATACCAACAACGTACCTATCTACACCTATTATACGTATACAAGTACACTGATTCATTTACTGCAAATGTAACTTTGTAATTCGATATATTTATATAGGATTACAAAGTTATTTATGCAGTTAGTATGTCTAGAAAACTGAAACGGAATTAAAAAATATTTTAGTTTTCCCTCGATCTATACACTAAACACTAATTGTATTCTAAATTTTAAGCTTCTATGTCTGTTAGAAGTGTCTTAGGGGTTTGACGATCGGTCAGTCAGTGAGTGACAAAATTAAGAACGTTTGACTAGTTATAGTTCTTAAACTACTAGTTCAAATTGAATAAAATTTTAAATGTTTGTATAATGCCTACTAGGTTACTGAAAAGTCAGGCTTCTAGTTTTATCCACTACGAAGTTATAGGGGGTACGGCCGTGCCACTTTTTTGCTCGACTTGGCGGGGGTACTACCGTGCCCCCAGATAAAAGAAAATGATATATATAAATATATATTTCATATACAAACTAAATAAATAAATAACATATAAATAAATAAAAGCCCAACCAGATGGAGGCACTCGGCAAGGGAGACCAAACGGCCGAGGGTTAGAGGGAAAGGGAAAGAAAAAGTATCGAGGAGCACCGCCTTCTGCATTTGAGCCTGGAGCGGTCCGTCACGGAGTTCCAGTCGCCTCAGATGACCCGAGAGGCTGACTGGGACTAGCCCGTTTGTAGAAAAGACTACAGGAATAATTTTGGTCGGCAGACCACCCCACATGTCAGTCAACTCGTGAGCCAGGTCCAGATATTTTGTTTGCTTATCTGTTTCAGCTTTCATGAGTTTCCCGTCATACGGAATGGTAATATAAACCAAAAATATCCTTGACTGTGCCCGGTCTATCAGCACAATATCAGGCTCTATTTGCAAGAATAGTCCTATCTGTGATGATGGCCTGGTCCCAGTAGAGCCTGGCGCGATCATTTTCGAGCACGGCTTCTGGCAAGTACTTGTAATACGGCAATTTGCGGTAGTGCGTATTTCAGAGCAAGCTTATGGTGTAGAAATCTGGCTACTAGGTTGTGCCTGTTCTCAGAGTTAGAAAGCGCCGAACAACAAAGATGGCATGCCTAAGTGACTCACCGGGATGGCGACAAGCTCGACAGATGTCATCCTTTAGGATGTATCTCTGATAATTGTTGGTCTTAATAAACTGATCCTGTATTGCACAGACAAAACCCTCGGTTTCTCCGAAGAGGTCACCAAAGCGTAGCCAGTGGAGGGAGGTTACTGTGTCTACAAAAGATTCATGAAGAGCCTTGTAGAAGCTCCCGTGGAGCTCCTTCTCCTTCCATGCGGTCTCTTGGTTGGAAATGCTCTGTACTGCCGGGTCTTACTATTGCTCATTGGATTAGAATAGAGGGGAAAGTTCTTTACCACAAAAAATGATGTCCATATAGAATGATTCATCCGATCTCGCCAGGAAGTAATTACGGAGGCTGCACGTGAGCGCGCTCAAAAAGCCACGCCCACCATGCTTTCGCGGCAAATAGAGCCTCATTACCGACGATCTCGGATGATGCATCCTATTGGGCGTAATAGTAGTGCGGACTTTTCTATCCAGGGCGTTAAGTTTTTAAGAGTCCACCTGAGTATGTCAAAGGTATACATGAGGACAGGCATGACCCAACCGTTATATGAGTGTGTCTTATTTACACTGGACAATAGCTTGTTAAGCACTTTGATCAAGCGTGCATTAAACACGTCGTAAACTGACTATTTCGTACCTGCCTCATCGATACCGATGTTCTGTGACATACCCAGGTATGGTATTTTTTAGTCTCGTAAAGAGTCCTTAAGTTGACGGGCATAGATAAGTCTATGCCCTCAGAGTTAGCAACCTTTCCCCTTTCAACATAGAGGACCGCACACTTATCCGTCACCAGCTCGATTCCAATGGAATTGCTAAATTCACAAGTGATGTTTAGCAATTCCATAAGATGGGAGCGACTGGAGGCGAATAACTTGAGGTCATCCGTATAGAAAGGGTGGGTCACTTTGTAACTCCTTTCCGAAAATGAAAAACTCTTTAGGCATGTATGGGGAACCGAGTCGTATGTTTTCTGTAGTCTATCTAGGCGGCGGAGAAGTTCCGACGGTTGCGTTTCACCACTTTGCCAATGACCGCGTCAATGAGGAGTAGTTCCTTAGTTCCACGACCACCACCCCGACATCCATTTTGAGCGCGCGACATCACCTGATTTGAGTCCAGGTTACGAGTGATTCTCACGCTCAAAATGGATGTTAATAACTTGTTTATGGTTGGTAGATACGTGGTGGAGCGGTATTTGCTCGGGTCTCGGGTTGTAACCTGGTCTTTAGGAACCAAATGAGTAATCCCAGTAGCGAAAAGGCTAGGGAGCGACTTCTCATTGAGAGCCTCTTGAAACTGTGGGGCGAACACAGCGTGACACACCGCGCAACCCTTCAGCCAGTAGTGATGCACCGTCGAGTCCCGGACTTTTCCAGTTCGGGGCCCTACGGACCGCCTCAGCTACGTCATCCGGCGTTATGATGACGAGGTCCATGTGCGTAATACTCGCACGCTGACTCGCCACAACTTCCGTCCAAGGGCCATCACTGTGGTTTACGGGCTCTGACGACAGGCCGTGCCAGAATGCAACAGTGTCGGCCTGATTCGCTGCTGGGCTCGTTCCACTTACCATTGGTCGCTCCAAAGATTTATAAAGGCCTCTTCTGATCACTCTCAAAGAGACGATTCTGGTTGAACCGTGTCGACCGCTCGGTATATTGCCCAATTCGCATTCCCCAAGCAGCAATTCTCTGCTTCAGGTCGTCTATATACTCCGTCAGTTTTTGCATTATATCCGGCTGGGGCAAACTAACATTTGTCCCAGCAAATGCCATCCTAACGGTGCGCACAATCCTTGGCCTATAATTGCCTGACCTGAAGCATATCAGTCTGCCGATGAGGGCCCTAACCTTTGCGATACGTTCTTCAATTCTTATTCTCCAGTATGGGATAGCGCTACTTAGTGCAGTAGCACGTCCATCCGTCTCGCAAAGGTCCCAGCTGGCTTCCAAACAGGTCACCAGCATTGGGTTCAGAATCTCACGACAGCCCGAGAGGCGAACTGCGTGTTTCCACAATCACCTCTTCCAATTTACTCCTCTTATGCTCTAATTCCAGTTCCTGGGCGACTGTTCCATCATCGTTTGAATCAACCACAACTGCGGTATCCACGGCGGCATCCACGTTAGTGGGTTGCTCTGCAATTTGTGGCGCCGCATCCTCTGTCGTAGCATTTTCATCCGATGAGGGAACAGCCTCACGTCGTATCCATTCGAGTTCGACGACATCAAATATATTTGCGCGCAAGATATACTGAACTCGGTCTGCCAAGTTTTGCTCTGACGGTTAGAGATGGCTCCAGGTCAGCAAAAAAACGATGCATTAGTAGCCCGATACACAAAACCTCACATTTCTCTCCCTTTCGCCCTAAAATACGCCCGCAAGGCGTTGGTATTCATTTAGAATGTCCATCGCATGCGGTGTACTCCACCAGTAGCGGGTGCCGATTGCTGGGGCCGCGAAGATCCTGCCGTCACCAAGCCAGTTGGTGGGGATGATGGATGCGAGGGGCTGATGGGTGGTCGTGCAACACCTCGCGTTCGGCTGGCGGTTCGCATGCTGTCGCGTCCAGCACCAGCTCCAGACGCACCCTGGCAACCTCCAGGCAGCGACCCCTTGCGCGTTCTATAAAATTCCATCATCCATTTTAGTGGGTGTCATTTAAGAGGAGATGCCCAGACCCGGCGCCGTTTCATGGTGGGGCCATGTGCATAAGCGGGCCTTTGCACCTTCAATTTTTGCCGAGCACTAACACCTCTTGGCAAGGTGCTGACTGACTGCGCTGACGTAGCAGTTTTGTCATATAACCGTTACGTCAGCGGGCGATGGAGTCATCACTTCCCTACGCCTTTTTATTATAATAATCGGGGTTATTGATAGAGTATTCTCATCTGGTTGGGCTGGATAAATATATAAAAGGAAATGATAAATATACATAAATACATATTAAATATACTAATATAAATAAATAAATATAATACATAAATAAATAAAAGCCCAACCAGATGGAGGCCCTCAGCAAAAGAGACCAAATGGCCGAAAGTTAGGGGGAAAGGGAAAGAAACCAGCGGACGATGCGGGCGGTATCGAGGAGCACCGCCTTCCGCATTTGAGCCCGGAGCGGTCCGTCAAGGAGTCCCAGTCACCTCAGATGACCCGAAAGGATGGCTGGGATTAACCCGTTTGCAAACGCAAGCTACAGGAATAATTTCGGTCGGCAGACCACCTCACACGTCAGTCACCTCGTGAGCCAGGTCCAGATATTTTGATTGCTTATCTGTTTCGGCTTTCACGAGGTTCTTGTCATACCGAATGGTAATATCGACAAAAATTTCCTAAACTGTGCCCGGTCTATCAGCACAATATCTGGCTTATTCACAAGAATAAGTGTGATAATGGCCCGGTCCCAATAGAGCCTGCCACGGTCATTTTCGAGCGCGGCTTCCGGTAAGTACATGTAATATGGCAATTTCCGGTCCACGAGACCGTATTTCAGAGCGAGCTCCCGGTGTCAAATTCTGGCTACTAGGTTGTGTCTGTGCAAGTACTCAGAATTAGAAAGCGCCGAACAACCGGAGACGTCATGCCTAAGCGACTCACCGGGATGGCGACAAGCTCGACAGACGTCGACGGTATCATCCTTTAGGATGTATCTCCGATAGTTTTTCGTCTTAATAACCTGAATCCGATTAAGAGGGCACCGAAACGTAGCCAGTTGAGGGAGGCGATTGTATCTACGAAAGGCTCATGTAGAGCCCTGTAGTACCTCCCGTGGAGCTCCTTCTCCTTCCATACGGTCTCCCGGTCGGAAATGCTAAGCAGTGCTGGGTCCTGACATTGCTCGTTGGCTAAGCATAGAGGGGAAAGCCCTTTATCACTAGAAATGACGTCATTATAGAATGGATCATCCGATCTTGCCAGGAAGTAATAGTAAACAAGACGGAGGCTGCACATTTGGTGTTGACCGCGTCAGAAAACCACGCCTATTATGCTTTCGCAGCAAGTACAGCCTCATTACCGACGATCTTGAATGATGCATCCTATGGGACGTCATGGTAGTGCGGACTTTTCTATCAAGGGCGTTAATTTCGGTCTGAGTCCACCTAACCGTTATATGCGTGGGTCTTATTCACACGGGACAAAAGCCTGTTAAGCACTTTGGTCAAGCGTGCATAAAACACGTCGCAAACTGACTGTTTCGTGCCTGCCTCATCGATACCGATGTTCTGTGACATACCCAGGTATCGGTATCTTTCAGCCTCGGAAAGGGTCCTTAAGTTGACGGACATAGATAAGTCTATGCCCTCAGAGTTAGCAACCTTTCCCCTTTCAACATGGACGACCGCACACTTATCCGTCACCAGCTCCTTTCCAATGGAATTGCTAAATTCACAAGTGATGTTTAGCAATTCCATAAGATGGGAGCGACTGGAGGCGAATAACTTGAGGTCATCCATATAGGTAAGTTTAGTTGGGTCACTTTTGTCCCTTCCTTCCGTAGCTGAAATCCCCTCCCGGAGCCCTCCAGTAAGGTACTGAGTGGGTTCAGAGAAAGGCACAACCAGATTAGACTCAGATAATCGCCCTGGAAGATACCCCTTCTTATCCTTATGTGGTTCTCCGCAGCCATCATCCGCTCGCCCAGATGACAAAGGATCGTACTCCACTGCCCCATACACTGCTCGAGGAAGTCTCTAACTGTACAGTCTATCTTGTACAGCTCGAGGACTCTCTTTAGCCATGTATGGGGTACCGAGTCGAATGCCTTTCTGTAGTATACCCGGGCACCGGAGAAGTTCCGACGGTTGCGTTACACCACTTTGCCAATGACCGTGTCAATGAGGAGTGGTTCCTTGGTTCCACGACTACCGCCCTGACACCCATTTTGAGCGCGTGACATCACCTGACTTAGCTCCAGGTGACGAGTGATTCTCGCGCTCAAAATGGATGTCCGTGTCTTATATATTGTGGGTACTCACGTGATAGGGCGGTATTTTCTCGGGTCTATGGTATCCTGATCTTTAGGAACCAAGTGAGTGATCGCAGTAGTGACGAGGCTCGGGAGCGACTTTTGATCGAGAGCCTCTTGAAACTGTCGGGCGAGCGCAGCGTGACACACTACGAACCCCTTCAGCCAGTAATGATGCAGCCCGTCGAGCCCCAGACTTTTCCAGTTCGGGGCTCTACGGACCGCCTCAGCCACGTCTTCCGTCGTTATGGTAACGGGGTCCATAGGTGTAACTAAGCACTCTGGCTCGCCACAACTTCCATCCAAGGGCCCTCACTGTGGTTTACGGGCTCTGACCACAGGCCACGACAAAATGCGACAGTGTTACCCTGATCCGGTCCTGGGCGCCCTCCACATACCTCTGGTTGCTCCAATGATTTATAAAGCCTCTTCTGATCACTCTGAAAGAGACGATTCTGGTAGAACCGCCTTGATCTCCTTGTAAATCGTCGAATTCGCTTCCCCTATCAGCAATCTTTTGCTTCAGGTCGTCTATGCGCTCCGTTAGTTTCTGCGTGATATCCGGCTGAGACAAACTGATATTTGTCCCAGCAAACGCCATTCTAACGGTGCGCACAACCCTCGGTCTATTATTACCCGACCTGAAGCTTGTCAGTCTGCCGATAACAGCCCTTGCCTTTTCGATACGGTCCTCAATTCTTTTTCTCCAGGCTGGATGGCGCTACTTTGTTTATTAGTGCGTCCAGCCATGGGAAGTTTGGCGCCAATAATACGGCAAACTGCCACTGTGGCGCCAAAAAACTGAGTACGTCTCGCAAAGGTCCCGGCTGGTTTCCAAATAGGTTACCAGCAATGGGTTAAGAGCCCTCACGACAGCCCGATTTCGCTTGCTTAGGGGTATGCGGGGAAGTTGCGGTCGATTTTCGAGAGGTATGCTGCGCGTTTCCAAAATCGCCTTTTCCAATATACTCCTCATTTGCTCTAGTTCGTGGGAGACCATTTCATCATCGTCCGAATCAACTACAACTGGAAGATTCATGGTGGCTTCTACGCATGGATGCTGGTCTGTCGCCTTAGGAGCCACATCCCCAGCCATAGCCAATTCATTCGATAAGGGAATGGCCTCACGTTGTAGTCGTTCGAGCTCGCCATCATCAAATATTTTCGAGCGCATGATGTACCGAACTCGGTCTACCAAGTTTTGTTCCGTGGCGGGAGTAGACAGCTGCAGCTCAGCAAAAAAGCAATGCAGAGCTGTATCCCTGAGTTTCTTCCCTTACGCCCTATAGTACGCCCGCAATACGTTTCGTTTATATTTTTTTCCAACGCATGCGGCGCTATTCATGTCCGCTTGCCGAGTCCGAGAGGACCCTGCCAACATCAAGCCAAAGTAGATAAAACTTAAAAATTGACTAAATTGTTTCCTTGCGCATATAATTTATTCTTGTATATCTCGTTATGTATCATTGACATCTTTACGTGATATATGAATACGGTTCCTTCTTTAAATAAACATTAAAATAAAACCTTGAAAATCGTAAAAATAGGTAAAATAAAGTAGTTTTACATGCTTTATTGGTCTCATAAAGTTTAAATTACGTTTCTCCGAAAGAACCTACAGTAATTTATTGTAAAGTACGGGTGGCAACCCTACAAGCGAATAATGACGTGTATATGAATAGTGATACGAATACACACGTGCAGTTCTTTTGCTCGTGCCAAAAAAACTACATCGAGTGGAGAACAGGTGAATTCTTGGGATGAGTAACAAGAACAGCCCAAGTAGGCGTTTATATATTCGTAGTCTTGTCTACTCGTCTGTTTTCGGCGAGTATGTAAACGTTGCGTAAAAGTTTTTATTTTATGCGCATAACTTTATATTATTTATACCAAACTTCCTTTTACATTTTACGCACATTTTGGGGCAAAAACGGCGCGTAGCACTTTTAACGCTATCATTTTACAACGTGGATATTTTAATTAAGAATCTGATGTAAA